CCAGGCCATGCCACACCCACCAAGCCATGCCCACAGAACCGGTAGTAAAAAATTTTGAAACTCACCACTGCCACAGAGGACAACTGCAGTGCTGATCCATCACTCCAAGAAATGCCCTAGACAGAACCTCTGCCTTGAGATGCATCTTTTTAATACCAAAAAAAAAAAAAAAAAAAAAAAAAAATCCTGATAAATCATAAGACTTGTCTTCCAAGGAAAAAAAAGCTCGTTTGCTTCTTTATCGTGGAGTTCATAACACTTTTTTTTTTGCTTATTCCGAATCTCAAGCAAGTTGCAAGATTAAAAATGCAAAGTATGCAATCAAACAGAACGAATTGCAATTAGATTCAGAATCAAATTTATCATCTGTAATGTCTGTCAAGCCAGGGCATTAAGCCACAATTAAATTCTGCTAGCAACTGACCTGTCATTTAAAAAAAAACAGGACCTCCACATTGGAGAATCTTCTGCCTTTTCTGCTTTGCTTCAGTTCAAAGCTGGGGGTGGGGTAGGGATGGGAGTCCTAAAACTCATTGTCTTCCTGGTGATTGGCCCAAAATCACCCAATTGGCTTTCATGCCTAAGGGGACTAGAACTCCCAGTCTCCTGGTGATTGGCCAAAGTCACCCAACTGGCTTTCATGCCTAAAGGCGGACTAGAACTCACCGTCTCCTGGTGATTGGCCAAAGTCACCCAACTGGCTTTCATGCCTAAAGCGGGACTAGAACTCACCGTCTCCTGGTGATTGGCTCAAAGTCACCAACTGCCTTCATGCCTAAAGTGGGACTAGAACTCCCAGTCTCCTGGTGATTGGCTCAAAGTCACCCAACTGGCTTTCATGCCTAAGGCAGAACTAGAACTCACTGTCTCCTGGTTTCTAGGCCACCATCTTAATCCTACATCAAAGGAGAATCCAAGACCTCGGTGCCTTCCGCCGTGCCCTTAAAACTTTCTTTTTTCAGCAAGCCGGGCTGGCTTAACATATTTTTTAACATATTTTTAATTTTTAATTGGTTTGTTATCTTAAATTGGGGCCAAATTAATATATATCCTTTTAATTGTTTTTTAATGTTTGTATTGTATGTTTTTATCTTGCTGTACACCGCCCTGAGTCCCTCGGGAGAAGGTGCGGTATATAAATTCGAAATAAAATAAAATAAAAATAAAAAAAATAAATTCTCTCTTACTATTCAACTTACTCCCTTTGGTCCATGGAGCAGAAGAAGTCATGAAATGTCTACCCAGAGATCTTCTGGCTGAAAGTTCCTTCAACATTGTGGTACTGAAAGGAAGTAGTATCTACCCCAGCAGCTTCTGCAAAAAAGTAGTAGAAAGCTGTGTCTCCCGATGTGAAACTATTCCCCATATAAAAGAATATCGAATTCCACGGAAGGGAAAAATGTTTTTATGACCGCAGCTCAAGATCATAAAACGCCACCCAGCCTTTCAACTTCTCCAAACTTTGATTCCGTGATCTTTTATGGTCCTGAGCTGACCAAATAAAGGCGTTGGCCTCCTGTAATTTATAACATGTAAAAATGAAGTACAGGTAGTCCTCGGCTTACGACCACAATTCGGCTCAACATTTCCGTCTCTGAGCAAGACTTTTGTTCTTTGTCCCATTTTACGACCATTCTTGCCACAATAGGTAAAGTGAATCACTGCAGCTGTTAAGTTACTAACATGGTTGTTAAGTGAATCTGATTTTCCCATTGACTTTGTTTGTCAGAAGATTGCAAAAGGAGGTCACATGACCCTAAAAACCGTCGTAAACATGAACCAGTTGCCAAGCATCTGAATTTTGATGACGTGACCATGGGGATGCTGCAGTGGTTGTAAGTGTGAGAAATGGTCGTAGGTCACTCTTCTCAGCGACATCGTAACTTCGAACGGTCATTAAACAAACTGTTGTAAGTCGAGGACTACCTGTAAAAAGGATGAAATGCCAAATGGGAAAATATTGTCCAATGTAAGGGAAGATGTGGCAAGGGGTGCTAAGTGTGAAAAAGGATCATTAAGTTTCTTTATTCAGTGCCTCTGTAACTTTGAATGGTCACTAAATGAATTATTGTAGATATCTCAGGGGCTGCCACAAAGAAGAAGGAGTCAAGCTATTCTCCAAAGCACCTGAGGGCAGGACAAGAAGCAATGAATGGAAACTAGTCGAGGAGAGAAGCAACCTAGAACTAAGGAGAAATTTCCTGACGGTCAGAACAATTCATCAGTGGAACAACTTGCCTCCAGAAGTTGTGAATGCTCCAACACTGGAAATTTTTAAGAAGAGGTTGGACAACCATTTGTCTGAAGTGGTGTAGGGTTTCCTGCCTAAGCAGGGGGTTGGACTAGAAGACCTCCAAGGTCCCTTCCAACTCTATTCTATTCTATTCTATTCTATGCTATGCTATGCTATGCTATGCTATGCTATGCTATGCTATCCTATGCTATGCTATCCTATGCTATTCCATTCCATTCCATTCCGTATACAAAGGAAAATATTTCTATTTCTTGTTTCCTATTCTATCCTATCCTATCCTATCCTATCCTATCCTATCCTATCCTATCCTATCCTATCCTATTCCATTCCATTCCATATACAAAGGAAAATATTTATATTTCTTGTTTCCTATTCTATTTTATTCTATTCTATTCTATTCTATTCTATTCTATTCTATTCTATTCTATTCTATTCTGCTCTACTCTGCTCTGCTCTGCTCTGCTCTGCTCTATTCCACTCCACTCCACTCCACTCCACTCCTATTCCTATTCCTATTCCTATTCCTATTCCTATTCCTATTCCTTTCCTTTCCATTCCTTTCTATTCTATTCTATGTCCTTTCTACTAATCAAACGTGGAGAAAATCCTCTTCTAAAACTCAGAGCCGTTTCTATTTTTGTAACCCCCGTATATTCATTATTTATTTATTTATTTTCCTCCTCTGGCAAGGATGCTCAGACACAGAGCCAAGCAAGAGCCCTTGTGTCTTTTAATCCATGTAAAGATGAGAGCATACGGATAGCTGCAATTTGTCTTGCCAGCATGACAGAAGCTACAAGTAACTAGCACCAAGATTATGAAGCATTACTTATCGGTTCATCATTTTGTTGCTTGTATCGTAGAAGGGATGGGCAGCTCAATTTAAATCCGATCTGGGGTCAGGAGGCTATGCAATCAAGTATTAATCTATTCTGTCAAGTTCCCTCCTCCGTCCCGTCCACCCCAAATTATACATAAGCAATGTCGCAGTGGTTATAAATAACTTTTCTCCACTACGCATTTTTGCATGCATCTTTCTTGAATATAGCCATGACTCCTTGCAATTTTCCACATTTCTGTCGTACTTATTCAGCTTCTCCAAATGCAGCGTATCTATTTTTGATGCTGGGATATATTTTTAGGCCGACGCTGGCGGAATTCTTGAATTATTCACCCAGCTGACTCACAGTAGATTTGGCTGATCCCATCACTCTAGGAAATCCACTGATTTCTTTGGCACCTCGTAATATGCAAATCAGAAATCATGAATACGGGTAGTCCTTAAACGGGCCACCACTGTTGAGCCACAAATTTCCAAGGCAGTTAAGTGAATTTTGCTCCATTTGAACAAACTTTTCTTGTCACCGTTGTTAAGTGAACCACTGCGGGTTTTTAAGTTAGTAAGTGTTGTGGCCCGTACACGGCCTGTGCAGCTAGTAGCTGATTCGGACAGCGAGGAGGCTGGTATGATGCTGCGCCAGCAGCCTGTGCAGGTGGCACTCGAGTCAGACAATGAGGAGGCTGGAGAAGATGTGGTGCCAGAGGTGGGGATTCAGCCAGGACCTTCAGAACCTCCAGAAGCTCCCTTAAGTGAAGAGGAAGAAGAGGAGGAGCCTCTTCTCGATGCACGGACGCACAGAGCTGCCAAAAGGCAGGAGTGGCTCCTCAGGAGGAGGTCTCCTCGAGAGTAAGGCTTGGGGCTAATTGGCCACTCCCTTAGCCTATTTAAGGAAGAACACTGACCGAAGCAATTTGCAGGGAACAACTTAGCTCATATACCTTCGTGTCTTGTCTTGCTTATCTTACCAGCTTCCTGCAAATTGCTTCTGGGCATTCTGCCAACCATAGTAAATTTTCAGTTATTCTTTGAATTCTTGGCGGCTGTTAATGCAATTAATTAACAGCCATTGTTATAACAGACTGGTTTATTCAATAAATTAAGGTTTGAACGGACTTTGTGTGCGCTGCGTTCTTTGGGCGTCCGTAGCTGGGGCAGAACAGTAAGTGATTCTGGCTTCCCCATTGAAAGTTGCTGGTCAGAAGGTTGCAAAAGCTGATTATGTAACCCCAGCATTATGTGAATGCTGGCTGGAGAATTCTGGGAGTTGAAGTCCACAAGTCTTAAAGCTGCCAAGTTTGAGGATCCCTGTGTTAGTCTATTGATGGTAGCCCCAGCAAGACATGCGCCTATCCATGAGTTACATACATTCTACAGAAACCATCTTTCTACATTTTTCATGGCTTTGCTTCTGATTGAAATGGTTTAATTTACCTGGTAGGGAGACAGAAATTAGTTTACGTAAGATTCACTGCCACGCCCCTCTTGGTCTGTACACGGGGTCTCCTATGAAGTATTAAATCTATAGCACTCCAAATCAATCACAGATAACAGCCAGACTTACTTTTGAATTTGAAAAGGTCTCGTCGCTCTTAACACTGATAAATTGCAAGCCGAAATGAACAGCATATAGTATTTTGTTTGCTTAGCATTCAGATCTTCACAATTAGAACATCCAGCCCCAGCTAAATAAATAATTGTTTTTCCAGCCAGCTGATTCTTTCATGCATCAGAGTAGAATGCAATAAGAAATCAGAAAGCAGAGATTGTGGCATGTTTCAATTCCGGACAGTGTCACATTTTTAGGGCACAAGGTAAAATGCTGAATAACACAATTGGGCTGTACATATTGAGGTACCTGAGCAAAGAGGCAAGTCTAACAATGTTAGCTGTTCTGTCTCTTTGCAGGCAAAGTGATCCGGTGAGCAACAGATCACACTCCTGGCAGCCAGCCAAGTTCCCGGAGAACCCAGCCGATCTCAGTATGATGCAAGTATCTCAGGGGACGATAAGCAGTCCTTGGCACCAAGCCTACCATCCGAGGTAACTCTAGCCACGTGGTCTTGACCACGGATCAGCCCTTGAGAAGTGGGGTGATGTGGTGTGGTGTATGTCAAAATGTACGGATGGGTGGGTGGGAGGGAGGGAGGGAGGAAGGAAGGAAGGAAGGAAAAAGGAGGGGGGGAGGGAGGAAGGAAGGAGAAAGGGGAGGGAGGAAGGAAGGAGAAAGAGGAAGGAAGGAAGAAAAGGAGGGACAAGGAAGGAAGGAGATAGGAGCAGAAGAAGGAAGGAAGGAGAAAGAGGAAGGAAAAAGGAGGGAAGGAAGGAGAAAGGGAGACGGAAGGAAGGAGAAAGGGGAGGGAATGAAGGAAGAAAAGGAGGGACAAGGAAGGAAGGAGAAAGGAGCAGACGAAGGAAGGAAGGAGAAAGAGGAGGGAGGAAGAAAGAAAGGGGAGGAAGAAAGGAAGAAAAGGAGGGACAAGGAAGGAAGGAGAAAGGAGCAGAGGAAAGGAAGGAAGGAGAAAGGGAAGGAAGGAAGGAGAAAGGAGGGGAGGATGGAAGGAATGCAGAATTTCTTGAAATTTGGACAGAAAAAGTCCTCATTACATACTTCTGTGTCCTGATGTTTCCAGTAATGATTTAGCCTATTAGTAACGGGATAAGAGAGTTGGAAGGGACCTTAGAGGTCTTCTAGTCCAACCCTTTGCTCAGGCAGGAAACCATATGCCATTTCAGACAAGTGGTTGTCCAATCTCTTCTTTAAAAAACTCCAGTGGTTTTTAAGCAGTGTGTCACAGGACGCTGATACAGGTGGTCCTCGGCTTACGAACACAACTGAGCCCAAAATTTCTGTTGCTAACCGAGGCAGTCGTCAAGTCAGTTTTACCCCCATTTTATAACCTTTTCTTGCCACATTTGTTAACTGAATCCTTGCAGATGTTAAATTAGCAACACGATGATTAAGTGAATCTGGCTTCCCCATTGACTTTGCTTATCAGAAGGTCGCAAAAGGGGATCACAGAACCGTCATAAATGTGGGTCAGTTGCCAAGACTCTGAATTTTGACCATGTGACCACGGAGAAGCTGCAATTTGTATTATATGTATTTTATTTGGCTGTTCACCGCCCTGAGTCCTTCGGGAGTAGGGCGGTATACAAATTCAATAAATAAATAAATAAATAAACCGTTGTAAGTGTGAAAAACAGTCACAAAAACTTCTTTTCTGTGCCTTTGTAACTTGGGTCACTAAACAAATTGTCGTAAGTTGAGGACTACCTGTACAGCAGCCTTCTTAACGTAAAGCCCTTGTCTTGGACTTCAGCGCCAAGAATCCCCAGCCAGCATGCCCTGGAATTGAAAATTCCAAACACATTTGAAGGACACCTGTTTGTGGGTGACTGGATTGACGAACCCAGTTTCTGTCCTCTTCATAGTTGCAATGACAATTATTTGTGTGTGGGGTTGTGTTTTTTTTTGCGTTCCAGCCTTCTTGAGAAGGGATGTTGTCATTCTAATTTTTTCACCGGGGTGTCCTCTGAGACAACCTTAGTTCATGATGTCCTGAAATTATGGATGTCCAATAATTATTGATTATTGATGATAAAGAATCAAAATTACGTGAAGTGTTAATAATACCACTTTATAATGCCTTGGTAAGGCCACACTTGGAATACTGCATCCAGTTTTGGTCGCCACGATGTAAAAAAAGATGTGGAGACTCTAGAAAGAGTGCAGAGAACATGTTGATGAAAAAGAAAGAAAGAAAGAAAAAGTGCAGAGAAGAGCCACAAAGATGATTAGGGGACTAGAGGCTAAAACATAGGAAGTAATGGTTGCAGGAACTGGGTATGTCTAGCTTAATGAAAAGAAGGATGAGGGGAGACATGATAGCAGTGTTCCAATATCTCAGGGGCTGCCACAAAGAAGAGGGAGACAAATTTTCTCTAAAGCCCCTGAAGGCAGGACAAGAAGCAATGGGTGGAAACTAATCAAGGAGAAAAGCAACTTAGAACTAAGGAGAAATTTCCTGACAGTGAGAACAATTAATCAGTGGAACAACATGCCTCCAGAAATTGTGGATGCTCCAACACTGGAAGTTTTTAAGAAGAGGTTGGATAACCATTTGTCTGAAGTGGTGTAGGGTTTCGTGCCTAAGCAGGGGGTTGGACTAGAAGACCTCCAAGGTCCCTTCCAACTCTGTTATTCTATTCTATTCTATTCTATTCTATTCTATTCTATTCTATTCTATTCTATTCTATTCTATTTCTATTCTATTCTATTCTATTCTATTCTATTCTATTCTATTCTATTCTATTCTATTCTATTCTATTCTATTCTATTCTGTGTTTAACTACTTTCCTGCTTATTTACTCACACTCATTCCTCATTGCTTTCTTTCCCATCCTGCCTGTTTCATTACACAAAACTCTAGCTGGAGTTTCCCCAAAGGCCATTTGCCCTCAGCACCTTAAAAAGGAAAAAAAAAAGAAGAAGGAGGGAAGATTTAGAAAAGAACGGATTTCCCCCTCTCTCCCCCCTCCCCCCATTTCTCCTGATCTTCCTTCCTTTAATGATGTCTGAATATTTTGGTGATGTTTAGGATGCCTGTGATGAATTTCATGGGTGGAGTTGACTCACACGCATTTCCCTGCAAAGCTGCCTCCTCCTCCTCTGGAGATCTCCTCCATCTATTTCCCACCCACCCCCACCTCCCTTTAGAGTGATAAATAAGAGACATGTGTTGCAATGTCAAAATCGTTCTTTCTAGGAAACCAGGATGACTACACACTAAGAACAGCACAAGGCCCAAATATGGCTTTTTGTCCATCCTCTATAAACTAAACATATCCCTCCATCCCTTTATAAATCCATCCCACTCTCTCTCTCGCTCTCTCTCACACATATTCACGCTAACGAAGTGTTTTCTTCTGTGTTTGTGTGTGTGTGTCTCTCTCTCTTTCTCGCTTGCTCCTGTCTTCAGTTCCTCCACCAACGACCTCTCCAACTTCGACCATGGCTTTTTAAGAAAAAGTCCCGACCAGTACAGCTCCAGGGGAAGCATGGAGAGTCTGGATCACCTGCCGGCGGGATACACCCATCCTTCCTGCCATCTTTCGCCAGCCAAGTCCACCAGTAGCATCGACCAACTCGCTCACCTTCACAGCAAGAGGGATTCTGCTTACAGCTCTTTCTCCACCAGTTCCAGCACTCCCGAATATCAGCTGCCTCCCTTTTGTAAGGAAAGGTCCTATTCGATGGAGAACGTCCATTCCCGGGCCAGGCCGCAAGAAGGCGGCATGCGGCAGGCTGACATCAGGTACATTAAGACGGTCTACAATGCCCAGAGAGGAGTTTCAGAGGAATACGAAGTGAAATCTTCTGCTCTCGTACCCAGCGGGGAGGCCCACCCCAAAGGTTACAGCGCCAGCAGGCCGCACGGCCATCACAAAGGCCCACAGGCGCGGAATTCGTTGGACAACGAGAGCCAGTACGCGAAGGGGCCTCCCATGCCACCCACCAGAAGTGACAGCTATGCAGCAACCAGGCACCACGACAGGCCCAGCTCTTGGTCTAGTCACGAACAAAGAAAGGCCTTGAGGAGCCATTCCAAAAATGCTTGGCTTCTCCTAGGCCAGGGCACGCCGCCTCCGGGACAGCTCTCGAAACCAGCATTCCTAGAAGGACAGCTCCACACCGTGATGGAGAGGAGTCCAGAGGGCAGTCCCACCATGAAGCCCAAACAAGGCTACCCCCAAGCTACTCAACCCGGACAGCCGCTGCTACCTACCGGGGTTTACCCCGTTCCTTCTCCCGAACCACATTTTGCTCTGGTTCCTCACTCTTCTGCGAACAACAGCGGGTTGGTGTACCCGGCGCTTGCCAAAGAGAGTGGCCACGCTCCTCCTCCGGCTTCTTTCCCAGCTTCCTACGAAAAGGCTGTTTCCTGCAAGCCGCTTCCCGTCATGGATGAGAACGGAAACCAGAGCATCCCGAGCAAGGCAACCGTTTTCTACCATCCTGAATGTGGACCCTCCGGAGCAGGGAAAAAAAAGATGGACAACGAGACTTCGAAAGTCATCTTATACAGGACCCATCCTCAAGCCTACCCAAACTCTCCGAGACAGGAGGAGGAAGCAGAGCCCACCTATATAGCACAACCCAATATCCAAGAAAGTGCGAACGATGCCCAATATTTGAACCATGCTTTTCAGCCTTGGTCGTTTCACCTACGAGATGGGATGGCCGAGAGCAAAGCCTGCTGTCCGTCAAAGGCGTACAGTTCGAAAGAACAGCAAGAGGACTGGAATGCGAACCTGCCGATAAATGAGTGCGATCCTACCACACAGTGGAATCCCAACAAGGCGAAGCAGTATCTATTCTCTTCCTTGCAAAATATCCCAGAGAGTACTCAGCTTCAAAACCCCATGGATTTGAAGGAGGCGCAATCAGGTAGGACTTGTTCGGGTGCCAAGTGGCATTTTGTTAACTATGCCAACCAGGAAGAAAAGGATGTTAAAGAGCAGGCCCCAGAATACTGGCAGGACAGAGAACGGCGTGCCACAGAAGATCACCGAGATGCCACTACCAGTGCTGATTATAGCCACGGCATGGAACCAAATTATGAGGAGCCTTCAGCTCCGTTGCTTCCACAGACCTCCGATTTCAGAGCTGACCAGTTCCGATCTTGCAGCAACAACAGCTTTCAGCCCCCCTGGTCTGGGAAAAAGGAGTCTAGGAAGACCCGATGTTCTGTGCTGGAGAAGGTCAGCAAGATAGAGCGACGGGAACAAGGCCATCAGCGTCCACAGAGCGCAAATAGCTTGAGCCAAAATTCAAAGAAGTCTGGCGTTGAAGATAGCCGACGTAGACATAACTCACAAGAATATGGTCAATTGCTGGATGAACATGGCAGGCCGGCCAGCACAAATAACTCAGACCTGTACCCGAATGTGCTCTACCTAAACGAAAGAAGCACTGGCAAACCAGAAAAGGCCAACAGGTATTCTGCAGAGCAGCAGAGGGTAATCGCAGCAGCTTTGATAGCGCCACCAGATCAGCAGAGCACCTACCGCCACGGGGGCTCCAGCAAGGAGTCGCACAAAAAGTCCGGGCAGCTACAAAGGAGCCGAAGTACGTTCCAATTGTTGGATGAACCCGAGAGAGAAGTCTTACAGAAAGTCAGTGCCAAGGAACCGCATGGCTCGCAGCGAGATGCCCCCGTTAACAGGACTTACAGGAACAGCATTAAGGATGCTCAGTCGAAAGTTTTGAGGGCCACCTCGTTCAGGCGCAAGGACCTCAACATTAGTCCTGCCTTTGGGAAGGAGGTTCAGAGAAGTACGCCAAGACCCGCTTCAGCCCACACCGGGATGAGGAGCACGACAGCTTCTCCACATACCCCAAAGGAGAGGCATAGCATCACGCCGACGGAGATAAAGATGGATCCTATCAATAAAGATGGTCTCCCAGGACCTCTGCACGTTCACCGTATCGGGGGAAGGAAACGGCTGACTTCTGAGCAGAAAAAGAGGTCTTACTCTGAACCGGAGAAGATGAATGAAATAGGCGTGTCGGATAATGACCTCTCGCCGTCCTCACTTCAGAAGAAGATGCTCCAGTTTGTCTTCCAAGAGAGCACCGTGGCTGACCGACGCAAGATCTTCGAGAAGGAGAACAAAGCTTGTTCCACCATCAATCTTTCCAGGCCGGAGCTGAAGCAGCTGCAGCAAAATGCCCTGGCAGATTACATTAAACGGAAAATCGGGAAGCGCCCCTCGTCGGCATCCCAAGAAAGGGAAGGATCGCAGACCCCATGCCGGCAAACCAATGGCCAAGAGAGTCAGTCTCTGTCCCCGGCTTCTAGCATGAATTCTCTCCAAGACCAGAGTCTCTTTCATACTAGGGAAACTCTAGAATGGGCCTCTAGAATGGGGCACGTTTATTCTCCACTGCCCGGGCTCCATGGCTGCTTTAATCCCATTGAATTCGAGAGCAAGATGGCGGGCCACCCGAATCACGGTAGCAGCAAAAGCTCCACGCCCAGTTGGCTGAAAGCAGATGGCCGCCCAGATCATAGAGTTAATCCCGAGCTTACGAAAAGCACTCAGACCGATCTTGACATTTGTACCCCGCCGCACCCCGTCCACCAGATCCTGGAGAAAAAGACACGGCTCACCAAGAAGCCTGGGAAATCAGCTTCTGCGGAAGACCTGCTGGATCGGACAGAAAACCAGCCTATGACCATGCACGTCCGATCCAGGTCATCTCCCTCGGCAGATAAAATGTGCCAGGTACGTACAGGTATAGAAGAGATTTCCACAAGCTGCTCAGTGTTTGTTCATCTTGCATCTTTCTTATTTGCAAAGGCGCACTAAATCTTGAGACAATTTAAGAACATTTTTCGTTCTGTCGACTGATTACCCTGTTCCCCCCAAAATAAGACATCCCCTGATAATAAGCCCAATTGGGCTTTTGAGCGCATGGCAATAAGGCCAAGCGCTTATTTCAGGGTTCAAAAAAAAATATAAGACAGGGTCTTATTTTCAGGAAAACACGGTAGTAGCACCCAATTTTCTGCAACCACCTTTCCGTAAATTTGAGTGGCAAGGTATTTCGGCGCCCCAGAGGTTTTTGATCGTGGGTCTATCTCTAAAGATAGACTTACAACCCACAATTGGAGCCCAAATTTTTGTTGCTCAGCGAGACAGTCGTTAAGTGAGTTTGTGTTAATGGCGCAAAAGCATGGCTGCTGACGGTGTTGATGAAACTGTCAAGCATTCAGGAAAGAGGAACATGCAAATAGAAATATGCAAATAGGAATTTGAAAAAGAGTTCAGTCAGGTAGTCCTTGAAAGCTGGATTTGCTTAGAAACCATATGATTCTTAACAACTGCAGTCATTTTCTTAAAAACCATGATACAAAAAAGGTCGTAAAATCAAATGCCACTACAGGTAGTCCTCGACTTACGATAGTTCATTTAGTGACCATTCAAAGTTACAAAGGCACTGAAAAAAGTGACTTATGACTATTTTTTCACTCTTATGACCATCGCAGCATCCCCATGGTCAAAATTCAAAACACTTGGAAACTGATTTATAATGGTTGCATTATCCCCGGGGTCATGCGATTCTCTTTTGCAACCTTCCGACAAACAAAACAATAGAGAAACCAGGTTCACTTAATAATCACGTCGCTAACTTAACAACTGCAGTGATTCACTTAACAACTGTGGCAAGAAAGGCCGTAAAACAAGGCAAAACTCACTGAACAACTGTCTCGCTTAGCAACCGAAATTTCGGGCTCAATTGTGGTCGTAAGTCAAGGACTACCTGTACAGCCACCAAAAAGTCGGACATTTCGGTTTCTTAATGCAACCCCCTTTTTTTTTCTGGAATCCAGCCTTATTTCATTTTTTAAAAGAGAAGAAAGAAGAGAAGACCAACTGCTCTATATATATATACCCTGTTTCCCCAAAAATAAGACATCCCCTGATAATAAACCCAATCAGGCTTTTGAGTGCATATGCTAAAATAAGTCCTCCCCGAAAATATTTAAACGCAGAGCTGGAAATCAGGTAAGACGGCAAGAGGAGCCCCATCTTGCCCCAAAATAATAAGAAATCCCCTGATAATAAGCCCGATTGGGCTTTTGAGTGCCATAGACAGGGTCTTATTTTCAGGGAAATGTGGTATATATATATATATTGCAAGCTCTCCTTAGGGAATATAGTGTTCCGTGCAGCCTGGCTATAAATTATACAGCTGTGTCACCCAAGGAATTTGTTTAAAGAAGAGAGGAAATTGATAGCTGTGCAATCTCGCCAGCCGATCTGTCTTCGGCCCCAGCATTCCTGCTCTTCTGTTGCAGCTTCTCTTTTAGCCTGTCTCGGCCTGCATGCCTTATGGGTCTCCCGCGTATAAATTTGGGGGAGCGTTGAAAGGGCCCCTCCCTCGCCAGCTGCTGCCTTCCCCACGGATAACAACGGAGGAAGGCAGTCTATATAGCCGAAGTAATCTTTGGACCCAGTAAATTATGACCGGCTGGGATCTGTGTCTCTTCAAAATATGTGATCTTTAGCATCTGGAGAAAAGCCAGTATTGTGTATGTGTGTGTTTTCCCAAGCTCTTTTTTCTTCTTCTTCTTCTTTCTTTTGGGTCTCTGAATTTTTCATACTTGGAAACTCCGGCTGTAGTCAGGGGGATCATTTAAACGCACAGAAAGATCATACCAGTGGTGAAATTCAAAACTTTTCCCTACCGGTTCTGTGGGCATGGCTTGGGGGGGGTCATGTGACTGGGTGGGTGTGGCCAACCTTTTTTTTTACTTTTAGCATTTTTTTATTAAAAAAAGTTTTTAAAAAGTTCCGATGATTCGGTGGTGTGGTGCAGCGGTGCCCATGATCGTTGGAACCTTTTTTTTTTTTTTTACTTTTTTAAAGCATTTTTTTTTTACTGCCGGTTTGGGCAAACCGGCCCAAACCGGTAGCATTTCACCCCTGGATCATACCATTATATCTCATTGACTGGGAACACCCATTGTATTAGATTTTGGATTAATGCAGGGTGATCCCAGTTATTGTATGTTGTGAGCCATAGATTGTGGCTTTCCGTGTCCCACTGATCGTTGAATTATTCAACCCACCGTGATTAAAATAATCCAAGGGATAGGACAGTGCAGGTAGTCCTCGACTTACGACAACAATGGAGCCCCAAATTTCTGTCGCTAAATTGTCCAATGAATTTGGCTCTATTTTACGACCTCTCTCTTGCCAGGGCTGTTAAGTGAATCACTGCAGTTGTTAAGTTTAGCAAAATGGTTGTTAAATGAATCCCAGGGGTCAGCAACCTGCGGCTCTGGAGCCGCATGTGGCTCTTTCACCCCTCTGCTGCGGCTCCCTGTCACTCAAAATATGTGTCACAACCGCCAATGTGTGATATCCGCCGGCACACAATTTATTGAGCTTTTCAACCCCCGGTAGGCCAACCATGGATAAATCCAAGAAAAGAAAAGTTTCAGAAGAAAACAGAATGTTTAATTCAACTACATCTGCTAGTTTTGTGGCTGCTCAAGAAATAGTCAGGCCCGGGAAGGGTTTTGTGGCTCCCGGTGTTTTCTTTTCTGTGGGAAACAGGTCCAAATGGCTCTTTCAGTGTTTAAGGTTGCAGACCCCTGGGTTATCCCGTTGACTTGGCGCGTCAGAAGGTCGCAAAAGGGAATCATGTGGACCTGGCCACTGTCATGAATACATGCCAGTGGCTAAGCATCTGAATTTTGATCATGTGACTGTGGAAATGTTGCGACGGTCTTAAGTGTGAAAAATGGTCATACGTCGCTTTTTTCCAGCGCCATGGTAACTTCCAACAGTCACTAAGGGATTGATTGTAAGGGATACTTTTAATAATAAAGATAGCGCCAAGCGTCTGAATTTTGAGCGTCTGAATATGGAGGCGCTACAATTGTCATAAGTGGGAAAAACAGTCGTAAGTCATTTTACCAGTAGCGTTGTAACTTCGAATGGTCACTAAATCAATCTGTTGTAAATCAAGGATTGTCCACCCATTTTGTATCGTTAATTGGAATGCTTTGTTTTTCATAGCAGAGAGAGAAGGAGGAAAATAGCAGCTTTATTATTACTACTACTACTACTACTACTACTACTACTACTACTATTATTATTATTATTATTATTATTATTATTATTATTATTATTATTATTATTATTATTATGGATCAACTGTCAGTGTGGCTGCAAAAATTTAAATCTAACCCACACCACCATTTATTCTGCAGATCAGATAGCAAGCTAAAGAATTCAAACAAGATTGAAATAGATTAAGAAAATTATCTCGTTTCTCATCAGGCGGCTTTCTAAGTAATCGTTTGGTTGAATCCCTTCTCTAATGCGCGCCTGTCTCTTGGCAGCTCTTCATAGTTTTTATCTGCATTCAACCAAGCAGCACCACGATCTACATCTATGGGATATAAGAGTAAATGCAGATTTATCAGCTAAAACTCCTGTTTTCTTCTGGGTATACAATGCAGTTTTATTAGCAACATATTGAAGAATCTCTTGGGAGCGGTGCGGGGGCCTAGAGGTGGCGCTCTCGCCTGACAATCAGGAGGCTGTGAATTTGATCCTAGGTCAGTGATGGCTAACCTTTTTGCCATCGCGGGCCAGGAGAGGGGGGCGGGGGAGGGTCGCGCGCGCACGTGCCCACATGCATGCGTGCGCAACCCCCCCCCCCCCCCCCCCCTCCTGGCACATGATGGCCTGGTAGGCCCGTTTTTCTTTCTTACCTGGTTCCAGATCCTCTCTGTGTATGTGGGAAGGGAGAAAACAGCCTTTCTCACTCCCTTGGAGGCCCTACGGAGGCGGAAAGGGCCCATTTCCCAACTCTCGGTGGGACAGGAAGTGACATTTTTTGCTGTCCCCAGCCTCCAGAACCTCTCTAGGAGTCTGAAGGAGCCTCTCTGGGAGTCTCTGGAGGCTGGGGACAGGAAAAAAAGGTCACTTCCTGTCCCACCGGGAGTCGGGAAATGGGCCCTTTCAGCCTCCGTAGGGCCTCCAAGGGAGTGGGAAAGGCTGTTTTCTCCCTTCCCAGATACACAGAGGGGATCTGGAACCAGGTAAGAAAGAAAAACGGGCCTATCAGGCCATCATGTGCCAGGAGCGGGGGGGAGGGGGAGGGGGTTGCGCATGCATGCGCGTGGGGACGTGCGTGCGTGACCCTCCCCCGCCCCCCCTTCTCCTGGCACGTGATAGCAAAAAGGTTAGCCATCACTGCTATAGGGCTATGATGACGAACCTATGGCACCCATAGCCATATCAGTGGGCACACGAGCTCAGCTCAGCTCTCACCGGAAGTTGGCAAACGGGTAGTTTTCAGCCTCTGGAGGGCCTCCGGGGGAAGGGGGGAGGGAAGGCCGTTTTCGCTCTCGCCATACTCCTAGAGAGGCTCTGGAGGGTGGGGACAGCTAAAAAAGGGCCTTCCGGTCCCACTGGAAGTTGGCAAATGGGCCGTTTCTGGCCTCCAGATGGGGGGGAGGCCGTTTTCGCCCTCCCTAGGCTCCTAGAAAGGCTCTGGAGCCAGATGAGAGAGAAAAACAGGCCTACCGGGCCATCGCGTGCCAGGAATAGAGGGAGTGGGGAGGGGATCGTGCGATCATGTGCAGGGCGCATAGAATTATGGGTGTGGGCACATGCGTGCGTGACCACCCCACCACCCCTCCTGGCACGCAGTGGCAAAAAGGTTAGCCATCACTGCTATAGGGCCACTCAAGGCGATTTAATCTAAAGTCAACAGCTGCTCTTCAATTTACGATCACAATTG